GGGGGGGGGACGACGGGACTCTGGCACCTGGGGGCTGCTGACAGTCGGCAGCAATGATGCTTGGGGTGTCAGTGATGGCAGAAGGGAGCAGGAGGGATGACCCAGCAGGAAGTGCAGAAGGGCACAGGGAGGTGACTCCAGAGAGCAGTAAGCCCTTGGACCACGAATTAGTTTCTCACTCCAAAACCTCAGTTGACCTCAACTGTAAAATGAAAACAGATTTGTTTTTTTGTTTTAAATACATACATATATATGGAAAATGCTTTTAGAGTGGGGAAAAAAGCCAAGTGTTAATTTCAGAAGGGGGAAAAAAAAGCCAGGCTGCCGGTGTGAGGATCTCCTTCTGATGTTGGCACCCTGCACCTCGCAGACAGCAGAAGTGAGAGGAAAGGTTCGCTCGTTTTCCTGTGCGTACGTAGAGGACGGCGCTTCAGCATCATCGGAGCCACGGAGGATGAGAAGCCGGTGAGGTCGGGCTTTGTGCATCCCAGTGGGCAGAGCCTTGAGCTACACCCCTGCCCAAGGTCTCAGATCATAAGTGCCAGACAGACAGACCCATGTGCTCGGGCCACCAAGACAGAGGCCAAGGACAGGGTGGCGTACACAGCAGACATTTGTTTCTTACCAGTTCTGAAGGCTGGCAGTCCAAGGGCAAAGCTCTGGGGGGGGTCAATTTCTCCCGAGCCTTTCTTTTTGGCTTGTAGATGACCATCTTTTCCTTACCTCTTCATGTGGCTCCCCATCTGCATGGCTCTGTCCCGGTCTCCTCTTCGGAGACACCGACCTGCCACATTGATTGAGACTCACTAGGATCGTATTTCACCCAAAGGACCTCTTTAAAGGTCCTGTCTCCGAATCTAGTCACCCTCTGAAATATTGAGGGTTAGGACTGTCACGTGAATTTGGGGTATACCAGTCCTTCATCGTATCCACACTGGACCCTTTAATGGCTGGAAAGGCATACCCTGTAGAAGGGACAAAGCTTGTCAAGCTCCGGGGAGCCTGTGCGGACAGTCTGCAAATGAGAAATGCAGCAAGGCGTGAACAAGGATGAGTGAGGGGCTTGGGGCTCCCAACAAACGTGGATTACATTTTTTTAAAAGGGAATTTCAGAAATTAACCCCCAGTTTCAAAAGGCTCAGTGGACCTGCTCTATAAAAGATTTCATAATAGGTTTCCTTTAAATGCCCAGCCTCGCCAGTATGCTTGAGAAATTTGATTTAATACCATGTGGTTAAAGTACTCCATTTTCCAGCCTAGCCATTAAAAGCAGGGAGGCAGCCTGCAATTAGTGTATTGCTCAATCTTCCTCCTCTGAAGGGCACCTCAGTACCCAGCACTGCACAGTCACTGCTGAGCGCCTTAACTGGGCCGTCACGGCCCTTGCTGTGAGTTGGGGTGGGCAGCACCAGCCATCCCGTCAATGACCGGGGCCGTGGTGCTTTTGTGTCCTATGAACCAGCGCTGGCTTGTATCTGTGTCAGCCGCATGGTTGACCTCTTTTACCTCTGTCTTTGGAGACAGTGACACTGGTTTCCTTCAGTTAGGGTGCCAGATGATCTTGACCAAGGCATACTGAGTGTGGTCCACACTCGGTTAGCATTTTCAACCTGCAAGCCTACATCAAGTTCATTGATAAACTTCCAGTCTTCTCTGTAGGGATGGGAAGGTGTCTGTTGCCCGGCACCATGGAAATCCAGAGGAAGACCTTACCAAATGGGCAGGCTGAGGAGAGCATGTCTAACCAGGGAGAAGTCTGAGACCCATCCTGCTGCAGGGGATTGTGCAAAAATCCTCTGTTCACCAGAGCTGCCCTTCTGGGAAGGAGATCACTTCTTTTCCCGGGTGAAGAGACACTTGGTAAAGCCAGATGCCGGCTGTGTGGTCTGACGCCCCCTCCCATCACGAATAGTCCTTGAGAAATCAGTCTATGCCAGGAGCTGTGCTGAGGAGTTAAGGGCATTGTGACCTCTCACAGGCCCCATTATAGGGGTCACAGGCCTGCAGGGAGGGCACCCTAGAACAGGACAGACAGGCAGGAAAAGAGCAGTTCGGGGGCTGCAGGGGGCTGTGGGGGAACCTGGCCCACCCTGAAGAGTCAGTGAAAGCCTCTTATGGAAGCCCTGAGCAAGCAGAGAGCCAAATCACAGGTCTCAGGCAGTCTGGTCTGGCCAAAGGAGTGGCTAAGCTCAAAGGAACATTCTAGGTCAAGGCCTGGATTAGAGGGCTAGGGTGGGGCCTTCAGATATTTCCGTGGACCCAGGATTTGGGGTGTGTGAAGCAGGCCAGAAAGAGTGCTGCAGCGTAGGGCAGGCCACAGGCGCGCAGGTGAGGGAGCCAGAGCTAGCCCAGTCTGGCCAGGACATTGGGGGGCCAGACATGCAACCAGGGACAGAGGCTGCAGCTCTTCTGCCCGTTTCAGATGCTGTGGCCTGGCCTGGGCAGGAGGCCTTTGGCTGCTCAGAGGGCTCACTCAACCCCTTCCTGGCCCTCAAGCCCGGAGTCTTGCTTTTTGGTCTGTGACGATATGGATGGCCTCAGGAGTCTTGTCACTAAAGCTGCTGGCTACTCTCTGCGCAGTGGGTGCCTCGGTGCCCCTTCACGCCAGCAGAGGTCTCTTCAGAGCCCAGAATCCTTTGTTGTTTCGGAAGAAACCAATCCGTATGCGTCGGTTAGCAAGGGAGACTGGAGGTAATGTGGACCTAAGCAAGATGGTGCCGTTTCTTTACCGTGAAGGCATGCTGGCGGGAGTATGCTGCTGGTTGGTTTAGTGGTAAGTGGCACTTTGTGACTGTGTCTTTTTGCTTGTCCTGTGCCATGGGCCCACTTGCAAAAGGCCATCTGTTGTTGAACTTGATTTCTGGAGTTTTAGCCATGCCCTCGTTTGTTTCCCTCTGGCTATGATGAAACACCAAGGCCAAAGCTCGAGTGGGAACAGGTTTATTTTAGCTTACAGGTTGTAGTCCATTCGTAGAAACCAAGCAGGAACTTAAGGCAAGAACTTGAAGCAGAGACCATGGAGGTATGCTGCTGACTGGCTTGCCCAGCCTGCTTTCTTACATAACCCAGGACCACCAGCCTAGGGATGGCACCGCCCACAGTGGGCTGGATCCTCCCACATCAATGGGCAAACAAGAAAATGCTTCACAGACAACGTCTACAGGCAAATCTGATGGAGGCAGGTCCTCAACTGAGGCTCCCTCTCCCTAGGTGCGTCTTCGTTGATAGCCAAGATGAGTCGTCACAACCTACCCCAGCCACCTTCTCCATGAGGAGGATGAACTATGTTCAGTTCTTACTTTTCATCGCCATTCACAAGTGGGTCTGGGAAGTGTGGTGTTGCACCTAAGCACCGTTCTATTAGTAAGGGAGAGTGGGAGAAATGGATGGTCAAGAGTCAGCTGGTAACTTTAGTGATGGCATGCTATAAGTGATGGCTGGCCAGGGAGGACCAGCCACTCCCCGAGGACTGGGCTCTGGGCTCTCTTTCTCTACGGTGCTCGGCACCATATGGTGTATACTACTAGATGCTGCTGCAGGGATGAGTGAATGTGATAGAGACCCAGAGGAGCCTGTTACGGTTGGATGCAGTTTGTCCCCTGGGGTTCGAGTATTGCAAGCCAGGTCTCCAGTGCAATGGTGTGAAGGTGGTGTAACCTTTAAGAGATGATTAGAGCATCTTGGTCTAATTAGACCCTGCCTGCGTGGCATCTTCTGCCCAGAGCTGAAACCATGTGAATGTTCTGGGCACACACTGGAAGTAGAAGCCTCGGCCAACGCCTAAGGGGAGCTCAGTATAGTCAGATGGAGACTTGGGGACAGCCTGAGGTCAGTGTACAACAGCGATGGATGTTATTACACCTGGATACAGCCTGGGTGGAGACTCCTGATGCA